AAAGCTGTTCAGTTAATGATGAAATTTGCATCAATTATAGTTACAGAAACATACCTAAAAATACCATCCATGAATTATGAGATTGCAAGATCAAGTATTGTGAAAATAACAACTTCCTCTGATGGAAGTTTATAAGAGCTCAAAGGATTAATTAGAATAGAATTAATCAGAATGGAAAAAAAGTAAACCCTATGACAGTAGGTGTTTTAATTTAAACTTAAGATTACATATTGCCAAGAAATACAGACAATATCCTGTAGGAGACAGAAACTTCTCCCAAAATATGGCAGTAAAAAGGGAAATGGTATAAGTATAGAAACCTTGAACAATAATACAGTTAAGATTGTGAGGAACCAATAAATGATAATGAAACAATACCCCAAGGATAAGTCCCAGAGTCCCAACACCTCCAACAAGTAACAAGAAGATAATAAGTCATTAGAAAATAGAATTATCTTGATTTATGAGGAGAAGTTCATCTGCCTCAACAAAAATAAGGAATTCATTATTCAAAAAGATCAGCTAACAAGTGTAAGTATTTATTAATGGGAAGCCTTGCCCCATGTTGATCAACGTTGGTTTCTACAGGTACCATTGTTCAACCTGACATGGTAATGAAAGGCAGTAAGTTGCCTCCAGAGATGAAACAAGATGACGGAATGATTGAAAATATAAGTGGTCATAAAGTTCCAGCAACAGGAAAGTTGGAAATCAAACCCACTTTAGGGAGCAACATAATGTGTGAGTAATTGACATAGAGAAATAGTGCATGTTCGGTATAGTTTTCATGCAGAAACATGGATGTATGGTTAGACTTTTTTCTAATAGTTTCACAATCTATGAACAGGAAACCCCTGTGCACTGCATGAAAATTACAAAACCAGAGGCTAAGATTCCAATGGTAACAAGGAAGACAATTATTGTACTGCTATGAAGAGAAATACACATAGCAGGAATTATTAGGAACAACTTTTAATCTAGTGAGTGGGGTGCAGTAGAACCAAACACTCCAGCATGTCCTGGTGCAGACATTCCCAACCTGGGGTACATTTGCACTTCTCAAGGGGTACATAGGGTGTGAGAGTATAACCATTGTTTACACTTTACGTGGTGTTTTAATCTACAGTCAGACAACGAGAGTAAAGTGGCTCACATAAATATACGCTGAGTTCAATTTATCGATGTTATCAATACTATAAGATCCTTACGCAGTCCACACATATAGATTTTATAATGAAATAATATTAAAATCAATATAATTTTACAAATTTTTGATTTTTAATTTTTAGGGGTACATGGGAACCTGTCAGAATGCCCACGGCCAAGGGGTACAGAGGAACAAAAAGGTTGGGAATTTCTGTCCTGGTGGATTAATGGTTGGAAGAACTCCAACTTTTGTGAATCTGAAGAATAAAGATGTCATTATAAGAGCCAAGAACACAACAAACTTTGAAATATGAGTCAATTGGAACATTGCCAGTGGCGCCGGAACCACGGGGCAGCATAATGTTTTTTTTTTTTCAGAAATATCATTTACTTTGTTATTCCTACATTTTTGATTCGGTTGGTGTAGGCCTATTCTTAGTCTTAGGAAGTTTAGATCCAGATATATGCATAGTGTAATGACAACCAGTAGAACGACTGCAACAATGAACATATTACTCGTGTGTGTACGGTAACAAACATTTAATTCTCGAACGTTTCGAAATTACCAAAGGCCATCTTCAGCAGCTATATTTAACAAGGTAAAGTATTAGGTATAGACTATGTAATACATACGAAGGCACCCATGACAGCCAATAGCTTAAGCAAGATAGATGAACTGCGACGAATATTTTACGAAACTACTGATGCTATTCAGAATGCCCTCAAAAGTCCTTTCGACCAAGAATATCTTAAAATTTTGAAAGCCATTGAACAATCTCTATTTGATGCTGCTAATAAGCTACACGTCACTCCTCAAGATTCTGTAAAACATTTGGGCGATCTTTCTGACATAATTGACCTGGAAGAGTTAGAAAAGTGAATTTCATGAGCTTCCTGTTCACATCAAGTTGTACTATAAAGAATTTTCAGTACCAGTAAGGAGATTTACAAAGGTTTCTTCCATTTGCGATGTTTTAAATGACAGAGAAAGTTCTAAAGAGCTTCTTCCAGAAATGCACAAGTCATTGAAGCTTTACACTACTGTATCTCTTGGATCACCAGCCGCTGAAAGGAGTTTCAGCACTATGAGACGAATATAATTCTGGCTGCAATCAACCATGATCGCAAACAGTCTTAACAACATAATGTTTTGCATAATGCAGAAAGCACGCACTGAAGAAATATGCACCTTAAAAGTTGCAAAAGAATTAATTGTAGTAAACGAACAACGTCAGAAATATTTTGGAAAATATTGAACTCCAAACAGGAAATACAAAGATGATAACATTAAAAATTTTCGAGAACTTTTAACAACTAAGCAGATTATGAGAATTATTTAATATCTTTACATTACATGGATACTGAAACTTAAATATTTTAAGACATTGTTTTTAAAGATTTCATAAATTTCACTTTGGTAAATTAAAGATGCAAACTAAATGATATTTTCTCTTGCCAAACAATCATTTATAGTGTGGAGAGGCAAAAGCATGCGTTCAAACTAATTCCTGTATAATTTGTAAGGTTAAGTAAAGTGCCCCTGTCAATATGCTGCCCCCGCCGCTTATTTCTGCTTCCGGCGCCTCTGAACATTGCAATATGAAAAGCTGTACAAGTAGTACTTCCATATCAAATAGCATCATAAATAATTACTTTAGAAACAAGATGTGAAACGACTGATGGCAGATTTTCACATTAGGTGGAACTTATCACTTCATTTACAGAAGCTATATGACCAGAGCTATGGAGGTCTTACAACAGATTAATGCCACAGATCACTTGACTTTTTCACAACATAACAAGATACTGTTGCGTCAGCGAGGTCACGTGACAAGTATCACTCCACTTCCTTCTCGAACCTTCGTGAATTGCCGTGAGATTACTAGATTGGGGTAGTCTGGTATATATAAGATGGTCACAACGTGACGGAACAATGTGTAGGTAATGAGTAATTGAGCTGCAGTCAGAGAGTGTGTAATTGAATGGAGTATTGTCGAGCTCGTGAGACGTGAGTTTTAGCGTTTGTTATAGAGCGACTGTTGAAATTAAGTGTATCGTAAAGTTGTATTCGGAAAGAATAAACCAGTTTTATTTAAGAAAGGATTTGTGTCGCTAAAGTTTCGTCGGAACGAATTTACGGAAAGTTAACTCACGACTGGAGACGTAACAATACTTTCTGTGATTTAGACCAGACAAGTAAAATATATCATAAGACTGATACTGCTGATGCAGCCCCAATACATCAGTTGGTCAGACAACTTTCAGTTGCTAAACAGACTGAGGCTTTCAAAGAAAAAGAAGAAATGAAAAACAGAAGTAATTGAATTGGGTACATTATATTAAAATGGAACCTAATCACATCTGGTCATGCTCTGTCTGATGACCGTGCGTTTTGACAATAGCTCTGCAGCATACTCTCCATTACAAAAGGCTACATCGTAAGGTTGTCATATCCAAAGTACACCACTTCTTCCTGTGCAATCCAAACTGCAAGAACTGACTATCTTCAAAGTTACGTAGATGTTGGGATGGACCCTAGGCTATTGTTAAAAGAATCAATGATGTGCCAACAGTTTTAGGTAATTTCACTCGCGGTAATTTGACTCCCATTAATTTCACTCCCCATGTCGAAAAAATTATGAATATTAAAAGTGACATATATTTTAAAAATCAACATTAAAAATGACATTTATTAAAGATTATTAAAAGTGGTGCAGGTTATGAGCTATTGCTCGTAAAAAGTCAATCTTGTTATCTGGATTATATCTAGCAAGAAGAACTTCATATCTATATACTTATTTTTGTCGTTATTGTCACTCCGATCAAACTGAACTTTCTTCAATTGTGCCAACCATTTGTCTTTATTTAGAGTTGAAATTTATTTCCAAAGATTGAAACAGGCTAGGCCTAGCCTACAATTGACAACACTTCCATGTCACTGATGGTGCCATCTTCTGTAAGTTTAACATTTTAAAATTAAAATGCTTTCTTAAACTAGATTTTAAATGCACTTTAATTAAATTTTAAATTACTTTAATCAAATATTAATTTATATTAAATTTATTACTGTTACTACAAAAAAGATGCAAACGGCTGCAAGTTATCCTTACTAGATATAATCCAGATAACAAGATTGACTTTTTTACGAGCAATAGCTCATAATCTGCATCATTTTTAATAATCTTTATTAAATGTCATTCTTAATGTTGATTTTTTTAAAATATATGTCACTTTTAATGTTAATAATTTTTTTATATGGAAAGCGAAATTACTGGGAGTCAAATTACCAGTAACCATGCCAACAGTGTATTCCCTCGACTATCTACCTGGAGAAACTCTTTTCGCAAGTAACAAAATGACAAGTGATGATAAAGGACAAAAAGTTATCCCACATTCCTATCATAAGCCCTGGAATAGGAAATCACCAAAACGATTTGATAACTGGACAGTTTAGGAACAGTAAATGAATAAGTAAAGATCTTGTTTTGTCAATCAAAATTTTAATTGTACTTTGTGTCACAAATTCAATAAAGATTTAATGATTGTAATGTCTATGTTTGTGAATATTAATGTTGCTCATTTTCATGGTTTACTTGAATGCTAATTATGAAAGTTTAATGTACTATTGTTTTCTGTGTGTAATAGGACTGTTCAAGGGACTTCATAAACTAGGGAGTGGGCAGTGTTGTAGGTTATTCTTTTAATTTAGATGTTTATAGAGGTTTTTATTGTCGATTGGCCTTAGGGAGATTTGACACAGTGTGATGAGTGTGGCTTAAAGTCTAGAATGTTCTTCAAGTCTTAGAACAATTTGAGCAATATTAATTAATAATAATTGATTATTAATTAATGAGCTTGTGAGATTGTTAATCAGTGTGTGTGTGTGTGTGTGTTATTGTCACAATTTGTCAGTTAGTTCAGTTTTATGAATATTGAGTTTGTATTTTGATAAATAAACAGAAATACAAGTACCATAAATACCATGGGGAAATGTGAAGTTAGACCTATCAATCAGTTAACGTTAGTTTAGTGTGGAATTTTAGAACTTTTAGTTATTAGATGAATAGAACGTTTACATTATCGTTAAGTGTACTAGACAATGCATTTTTCTTTTTTTACCGAATAACTCAAAAGAATCTCTTCAACAATATAAATCATTATAACAGCATAAAAAACCTGAAATTGTAATTATCAACATCTCTTTCAGGATAACAGTATAATCTATTAGCCTTGTGTCATCTAAATTCCACTTATATATACATATATATATCATTTCAAGATCAAAGAAGATGATCCACCATTGATCTAAATGCTGTTTTAACATTACATAATAAACTCATTTATTCCATTTTCAGACTCTGGTTTCTGATTTCTTCCTAACTTACTGAAATTTAACAACTAGTAATATCATTCTAACCCAAGTTTTCTATATGCTCCAGCATATAAAAACCTTTCAAAATACTTAAAGAATCTCTCAAAGCACAAACATTTGCACTCAACACAGACTTGTTTCCACAACTTTAGACTTACTTTCACTGCACACTGTTGTAAGCCCCATATTTCTTTCTCCACTTTTCTTAATAAACACTTGGAAATTTTATTACATCTTTTATAATTGTATAGCATTTTTCTCCCTAACTTGCTTCTTTCCACTCTCAATGCAATTAAAAAATACCTATAATTATTTTTGAAAACGAGTTTAATATTATTTGAAAACAGAGACTAATATAACAAATGTATATTAGTTCAAGGAAGTTGATAGCTTTAAATATATAGAAAAATTTACTCTCAGTCCATATAAGAGATTAACCTACTGTGAACTGATAAGGTGATAACCACACTTAAATCTGGACCTATTTCGTTGGCTGCTTGGCACATGTACTGACCGCTGTCATTCAAGTGAACACCTCTGACAAGCAGTGAACCATTCTCTAGTGTATGGATGTGAGGATTGCTGACTACTGTATGAAAAGTTCTTGAGGTGCCTGTTAAAAATAAACCTTTGACTATAGAAACTTGAATATAAACAAAAACGTAAACTTGTAGTAGACATGGTGATATGGCTGGAGTTAATATTGTAGCTACTTTGTTCTCTTAATAATAAAGTTGAAAATACAATAGATACACTTAACACAAGAGTATTAGGGTTGAATAATAATAATATAAAAAGCATTAAGTATAGTAAAACTATTTTTAATGTCCTGAAAATATAAGTTAAAACATTTATTTAAAATGCATTGAAACTTACTACTTTAGGCTTAAAAACACTGTTGAGTATACAGTAGAGAAAAAAGCGTTATTTTTGGTTTAAACACAAGAGTATTCAATAAATTTGCTTTATTAGGAAAAAATAACAATATCTTTTTGAAAAACTAAGAAAATAAAACTATTTTCAATATCCTGAACAAATAAATTACAAAAAATGCTTAAAAATGCACAAAAACTAAAACTAATCGCTTCATGCTTAAAAACAGTTAGATAGAGAGTAGTGAAACAAAAGCATTATTTTTGGCTCAACATATATATATATATATATACAGAAAAGTCTGAATACACCGTAGAAACATTTTTAAGTTCAAATTTACAAAAACTGTTGAATCTAAAGGAACTTTAAAAATATGAATCTCACTTCACTCATCACTTAGTATTGAAGGTGATATTTTTTAAACGTTTTTACATAAATCAAGACAAATTATAACATTTTGTTGTGACCTACATTTTGGCTCCAAATAAAATATTAAAACTTTTCTTCTTTTTTTTAATATATCAAAGTTTACCTGATTTAACTTTCCACCGTATTTGTGGAAGAGGAAAACCACCAGCCTGACAATTAATCATGAGGGTTTTTCCAGCTACAGTTGACTGGTCAGTAGGTTCTATTTTCCAATAAGGAGCAACTGTCAACAAAATAAACAGAATATCTCATGAAACAAGTATTATCTAATTAGTTTAAATCATTAATTTTATTACTTTTACAAGCAGCTTATCAACTACTTACACCTAGATTAATTATATTCTAAAAGTAACATACTCAATAGCTTCCAAAGTTCCTGTAATTCTATGAAGCTTTATCTTATTCAAACACAGTGTACCAGCATTTAAGTTAGGATATAAATAATACAAATCATCAGTGAATACAAGTCATTAATCACTAGTGCATAACTATTTATGCTGAGAATCAGTTTTCAAGGATTTGAACTAATATATTATACACGGTGTGTTTAACCTTTGTTTGAAAAGCAAATATGGGGGTACTTACTTAGTACAAAGTTGGTTTGGAGCTTGAAACGAAGAATACAAAAGTAAAACTAAACTAAAAGGCATATTACAAATAAGTTCCATATTAAACAAATTAAAAACAAAAAAGCATTAAAAGTGAGAAAAAGCCTCAGAGTTTCTAGTAGTACTAAAACACCTATAGGGTGAAAAAAGAGAATACATGTATATATTACACACAATATGTACAAAAAATTTAAATCTGTTGTATCAATACGTTAAGTCAATAAATGCTTTCAGTATTTCCCTTTTAGCTGTAGATCTATTGTTATAATGCATTAAACTAATTACCCTTTGATTTCAACTCAGAAAACCAAAATAATTCTCAACTTAAGTTGTAATTTGTATTAGTTTTAAGATGAAAATTTAAAATAGTCCACAATGAACTTTCTATTATTAATATTCAACCATAATTACAATAAAAAAAACTGATGAAGAGTAAGGAATCAAGAGAAAGATGTTTTATAAACTAATAGTAAAACTAAAGTAGGCCTCAATTATCATACAACTTATAATGAATACGAAGAAAATGGGATATTTACCACTAAGGCACACTTGAAACTTAAGTACTTGAACAAAACAAATATCAAAGAGAGAAAAACTTTTGTTCTTAAGATTTTTAAAGCATCACAATTTGCCAACAGTTGAATATAAAAAGAGGTGTTTATTAATACAACTGCTGTAGTAAGTACATATATTATATATATCAAATGAACTGTATACTATAGATATAATGTGTATATAGAAAACCCGAAACAGCAATACGCTATAACAGGATTTGTATCAGCATATTTTTAATAATGACTATCATTGGTGTACTTTAATACATGACACACAAAACATTTGAATTAAATGTTTATTTTACCATTGACGACCATCTCAGCAGTAAAGTTCACAACTGCTGCAGAGTTTCGGGCCACACATGTATAATTTCCAGCGTGATAAGCCTTAACTGCATTAAAAGTTAAGGTAGAACTGTATTCATTAAGTGACTCCACTGAAGCTCCCAGAGCACCAGGAGATAAAGGTTTCCCGTCTTTTAGCCAAGAAATTCTGATTGGTGGATCTCCAGCTATGACAGCACACATAACAATACTTCTCATACCTTCTTCTAGGTCTGAAGAGAAATCGAATTGATTGATCTTTGGGGCAACTATAAAGAGACAAATGGATAAACAATAAAATAATTCAGTATGCTCGTTGAAAATAACGATACTTCAAACACTTCCTATTTAAATTATATCACTAGTTCTCTGTTGTTTCTCAGTGCTTTATTTTTATTCTGTAGTAAAGACTTCTTACCATCAATTAATGACAATTTCAATCAAAGTTTTGAAAACGTTATAGAACATGAATATAGTAAAGACTTCTTACCATCAGTTGATGACAATTTAAATAAAAATTTTGAAAACGTTACAGGCCTGTGCGCAGAATGTTTGAAAGGGGGTTCTAATTGTGAGATCAAAAACCAATATATATTGTGCAAAGCACAATCACCATGCAAAGCATGCTAATCTACGGTGGTCTGGGGGCATGCCTCCCAGAAAATTTGTAAAAATAGGTGCTATTAGATTAAATCTGGAAGCAATTTTGCGTGATATATAGCTTAAACAATTGCATGGCTGTGGTGCCTGTGGTGCTTTTCTATAAATATTTTACATACAGTTTCAATGTTTATAGCAGTGTCATAATGATTATGTATTAAAGTACTCAGTCTTTCTTCGGTCTGGCTACACCTCAGGTAAAATATTCAACCAGTGGAGAGCGGATGCCGAACATTCACATGAACTTTGACATTGTGGCAAAGTTTCGGATACATAAAGATATTTGGTACACTAAAGCATGCTTTTAAGCAGTCAACCAGTATCTGGAGAGGTATAGATCTTCCATCATCATTCCATTGATGAAGTTCCTCATCAAAAATATCAGGATTTGGCAAATCTTCCCTGTAATAATCTATAGTCTGTCTAGCAGAGATAGAAAACTCTTGTGTGAGTTTTGATGGCATAAGTTTCTGAACTGATGCTGATTGCTTTACACGTGCATCAAATCTGGAGGAAAGATTACTGATAATATGGTCAAGAAAAGAAGTGGTTACTGTTTTCGTAAAGTAATCCTCCACGGAACTATATTCTGCGTTTGCGAGTTGGGCTTGTTGTTGAATAACTCGTGGCATGCTAACATTAACATCAGAACTGTTTACAATATTACTGCTGTGCTTGAAGATACGGTGTGAATAATCATCTACGTTTACTCTTAGTGAAGTCAGCTATTTACAGAATTGTTCTATTAGGGAAACATCAGAAACAATGTCTTAGCTTCGACTTTGCAAATTTACAGAAGCTTCTATCAATAGTAAAGAAAACGTTGTAAAGCTGTTAAACAAAAATGAATTCAAAGGATTTCAGCATTTTCCAAACCTTCAGCAGCACAATTGTTATCAAACATTTCATAATTATCATCTCCATACACAATAACCTCACACATATGAAGTAAGAATGGATAACATAAATAGAACCTTTCTCAACCTTCAATGATCTAAGCCCAACATATTTGTTTTTCTTCAAAAAAATAGGAGGCTCATGTAAACCACCTCCAACCCCCCCCCCCGTGCATGTGACTGCGTTATACAATATTATCGTTTCCACCGTCAATTAATAACAGTGTAAATCAAAGTTTGCAAATGGTTATACAACACTGTCACTTCTACCATCAATAAATAGCAGTGTAAGTCAATATCTTGAAAAGATTATGAAATAATGTCGTTTTTACTATCAATTAATATTAGTGTAAATCAAAGTTTTGAAATGGTTATGCAATATTGTCGCTTTTCGATCAGATAATGGAAGTGTAAACCAAAGTTTTGAAATGGTTATACAATATCATTTTTTTTTCAGCAATTAATTAATATTTACTTCTAATTAAAGCAAGTTACCTACATAAATCATAACTAAAAATATAACCAGTAATGAGCATAGCTAGTTAAATATATTGTTCAAACTATCTTTCTCATAATCATTAAAATGCATTGTTTCATCAGTTGGGTACCCTCATTGTTAACGATGTTTTCGGCCGTAAACCCAATAATATTTCACGAGGTTCGGTCAACACAAGAAACGTAGGTTATGTCAGTCTTAAATTCATATGCTAAGATAACAATTCAGTACAATAATTGTAATAAAAATAGAATTAAAACTGGTACAATGTAGAATAATCATCATGATAAAATAAGATAAAAATGAAGTTACTAATAATAAATACAAATATTCTTAAAGTGTACATACGCGTTTTTAAACTGTTATATTGTCATCTAACGGCCAAATTACAAGAAATATCTTTATAACTATTATAGTACTTGAAATGACAAATGTCAGGGAATGTTATAAGTGTAACTACAGAAAGTGTTTTACTTTTTGAGCACCAGGGAAATTTTGAAATAATATCATTTCAATTTCCGTGTCTTCTTTTTAATGGCACTATGTCTGAGTATTTAGTACTAAACATATTAATCACATTTTACTTGCTAATTTATTTTGGTTTAATGACTCAAAGGCTCTCTCAATAGTTGCTTAGTAGTCTGATTCCTAAGTTTTTAAAACGTCAAAAGGTTTATGAACCAAAAAATAAAATAAAAAACGAGAACAAATAATCTTACCGCTAACTTCCACAAAAACGTCTTGAGTTGCAGTGTTTCCTTGCTTGTTCCAAGCAATACACGTGTAAGTACCCTGGTCAGTTTTTCTGGTAACATCGTTCACCACTAGGGTACCATTTTCAAAAACTCTCTGTCGATGGTTTTGTGGAAGTTGTTTGTTGTCTGATATTTCAAAATATTGATTATTTTCATGTAGGTGATAAAACTAAATTAAGACCTACCAAAATGAAATATACTGAGAACAAAAATGTAATGTTTCATAATATATACGAAAAAAAGAGAATTCTTGAAACCAGAACTTGCACCCAGTTTTTACCAGTATATAAGTGAATAATGATTACTCTCATCATGATGCACACAACTAAAATATAAATCTAACAAAAATTGACAGTTGAAGTGCTTGACGTATTCATTATTCAAAATGATATAAAAGCTCTTAAAAACAATGTAATATTTCGTTTTTCATAAACAAGTAATTAAAAAACTAAAGTTTCCTAAAAACATTATTTTTGATGGTATTAACATAGCTGGTGTTTTAGTGGTTAGATAACAGATCATATATATATGTTTAATTTCATCACATAACTACTCTGTGGATGCAGAGGCTAGTGTTTGGCTTGTTTTGAATTTCGTGCAAAGCTACACAGCGCTAGCCGTCCCTAATTTAGCAGTGGAAAATAAGCGAGAAGACAGCTTGTCAACACCACCCACCGCCAACTCTTGGGCTACTTTTTTACCAACGAATAATGGAATTGATCGTCACATTATAACGGCTCCGTGGCTGAAAGGACGAGCATATTCGGTGATGGAGGTTCGAAACCGTGACCCCCAGATTGCGAGAAGAGCGCCTACATTAATATAAACCATTATTTCTTTACTAGTTTGTGCTTGGAGTATTCTATATACTGCTCTGTAAAATCCCAATGGCTAAATGTTAACAACCATAAAATACATGAACCTACATACACCTCTATATATGAAGAACTTAGATGAAAAATCCGGTATACGTCATTCCAAGACAAAAGCGGCCAATGGCATTGTATTGACGAATATGCAGCATTTGGACTAAAAAAGCCTATGAATATATATTATTCAAAAACTAAGATATATTTTGTAAAACTTTGAATAAATAATAATGTTAGATTTCTTAGGTTTTTATGAAATAAGTTGTTATGTTTTTATTCATTAAATAGACCAATTTTGATTTCATATTTTTTTTTTTTGTGAATTACTCACGCCCCCCAGTGGCACAGCGGCATGTCTGCGGACTTACAACGGTAGAAATCGGGTTTCAATACCGCTGGTGAGAAGAGCACAGATAGCCAATTGTGTAGCTTTGTGCTTAATTACAAACAAACAAAGGCATTACTCACAACGGTAAAATTGGATATACAGCTTTGTGCATGTTTGCTATATTTCCTGTCTTATTTGGTTATTTTTAGTGCGAAATAATCTGTGTTTCAAACACTTTTTACAGACCGTCTTTTTAATAACTTTTAAAAACACTGCGTCTGCATGTCTGAAAAATAACGCATTTAATGTAGATATTATGATAAACAAATATTATAGATTTAAATATACAGAAATTATGCTAACGATTGGGTCATCAGTAAATTTGATCTTGCTTTTTCTATGTGCGATTCCTAGAATTTTTTTTACACTGTTCACTCATATAAAAGCAAAATTATATTCTACTTTTCGTGTGTGTTTTGTGAGACGGGGGAGGTGACAAGTATATTTTTCTGTAGTTTTGTTACTTATACAAGAAGTTTAAATAATATCCACGCTCCTTTGGTAAATGACTTTAAACTATAGCAAGTGCTAGATAGTGCCTTTGGATCACACGTTTAATATAAATGGAAATACACTCAATAGCGAGAAGGAGAAAAGATAGATAAGATAGTGATAGATAAACCACTCAAAACATCAAAGGAGTGCTTTGTAATTAGTAATAAAGTCAACAGAATTTTAGAGTGTATTTACATACATATTGATTACATACACGATGACGTGTTTATCGCTCTGTACTAGTTAGGCTTCACTTGTGTATTTATATACATATTGATTGCATACACTATGAGGTGTTTATCGCTGTATACTAGTTAGGCCTCACTTAGACTACGTTGAACAACTTTGGTCTTCTTATCTGAGAAAGAATATTGACTTCTTACAAAGGATTCAGAAGACGGCTATTACGATTATTCTGGGGATGGAAGCAGGGTTTGACATCTACAGAAAACAGTAAGTGGACTATAAAAGGTTACCCAACACGAAGGTAAAACAGCATAATTTAAACCATTCAAAACTGTTCGAGACACATCAGAATGCAGATAAAAGTATAAAAATGTGTGTTTCCTCAAATATAGCGGGTGGACGGCGTTCATCCGCGAGTCTAACACTGGATAAAAGGGTTATTCTAAAAGGATGTATTGATATCTCTTTATTTAAACCAGTTTCGAAGAATTCCACCCCACAAGAGTAACTCTGGATAATGATAAACTTAAAGAAAAAGACTTCATATAGTTGTGGAGTGTTTACTACATTTTTTTGTGATTTTAGTATTTTAAACAGCTTATCTGCTGAATAACTCAGAATAATAAATTAGTATCTTCAGTGCGACATATTTTTCAAATCCCATACATTTAATAAATATATGTTCACTGTGGCGAGTTAGACACAACTAGTAACACCATGTATAGAGTACGTTATACTAAAATGATTTTCAATTAGGTGAAAACCACATTCGGTATAAAGTGGAATTGAATGTATCAGAACTACATTTTGACATTGTTTGGGATTTTGCAGGTAGTGTAGTTCACAAAAAATTGATGAGTTTTGGGAAAGTTATATAACTGCCCTTTCCAACGCAAAATATTAATTTACCTAGATGATATAGATGTGTTCAGGTCGAGTATTTAGAATTTTCAGGACTTGGATATCATTTGTACTTAATGGCATTGGAAAACAAAAGAATATGGATCAATCTCGACCATTAAGGCCATCCAGAAATAGGCCTGCAACAAGTCGTCCCCTAGCTGTGGTAGGTAAAGTGCAACATCTAGTAACAGGTAATCAAGATCCACTAACACAAAGATCAGTGGTAAAAGCCGTCCATATGTCTCAAACAACAGCACGTAATATAATCAAGAAGAATCTCAGTTTGGAAAAGTGAAACAAGTCACGTTTACACAAATTGCTTCTACGACGTATCTGGGAAAAGAAGATCGACTGTAAGAAACTGTATGAATGATTCTGAGCTGAGGAAAATGCCAGCAGGTGATGAAAATCGACGAAACATATATGTATATTGATAACTACACTAAATCTCGTTCTTTTTTTCTCCAAATGTGTATACGTAACTTACGAAACTCTTTCGAAAGGTATCATGATGATCGCTAGATACTGCGCCAGAGATAAGTTACAGATCAAGAGAATGGATACAAAGGTCAAGGCGAATTCTGCTTATTATTCGTCTAATGTTCTGACTACTTGTACCATTCAAAAGTGCCGGTTTTGTAGAGAAACGAGGCCAACAGGGTATGGATTCACTAAGATAAAGCTTCCAACAAGAAGCTAAAGAATGAAACAGTATTCGAGCTATTCCATGCAAATACATGCTGTTCAAGTCCACTGATGCAACGCCTTCGGTTTTTCTGTGCAATTGAACTGTTGAAACAGGTGCTGAAAACCGTCGTCCTCGTACAATAGATAGAGTATGGAAAAAATTACGGAGAGGAGTGATGTGATTTTGACATTACATCCTTATGATGGAGACTTTTACAGTGGAAACTACGTTGCAGGACTATTGTCAATAAGCAGTGTCGTCAGATAGAGTATGACTGAATGTGGTAAGGCTCCAAAACCGTTTTAATATAACGTACTCGACCCTCCGTATAGCTATATTTTCTTTTGAGAAATGAAGATTAGTAAAAGGTAATCTCATTGAAGTTTAGAAGATTATCCGAGAAGATAGATAGGATAGAAACCCTTCATTTCTTTGTCCTATATATCTGAAAATAAAAGAAATAAACACACGTTTGAAAATTGGAAAAGACAGTTAAAGTAGTTTCATCTTTCTAATAGGATGACTGTCTTATTGAATTATTGCTGTCAGCAGTAGTTAATGCCAATACCTTACACTACAGGAGTTTAAGAGAGGAAATGATGTTCCCCCCCCCCAAAAAAAAAGGGGTGGGCTTAATAATTTATTTTTTCTCGAGATTGGGTGCACAATGATAGCCTTGAAGGACCAAGTGGTCCCTTGTTAGCCGTTGACTCAGAAGGTCAAAGTCTTTCGATTTATATATTTGACTACGCCCAAGGTCTCATAGATTAATTTACTCTAATCCTGCTTAAAAGAATTTCAAGTGCCGCAGCTATTGAGGATTCCTTGTTGTTGTTCATATGTTATGTTAACAACTTTAGTAACAACTTTAATTAATTCCATTTATTGCTATACACGGAAAATAGCTTACAAACAAGCAGAGGAAAAATGCTAGTACTGCTGATAAGAAGGAACAAATAATTACATTGAACTGGTTCCCTAAAATTCTATCTTTTTGAATAAACTATAAAAAATTGTAATATTCTTGAGTTAAAAGCAAATCAGTACCTTTTTTCCAGCTAATTTTTGTAATAGGAAAGCCTCCTACAGGACAGTATATAACTAAAGAGCTTCCGGCCAGAATGGTGCGATTCTTCAGTGTTCGTATTACAGGCGGTCCATATATGTTCACTCTTGCATGGTACACAGTTGTACCAACTTCATTGCTAGCATTACAACTATAGGTCCCACCGTCTTCTGGTCTGACGTTGGATATGTTGACGTGACTGACGACGTAACCATTGTGGGTTACAAAATCACCAACTCTTAACCTTAGAATGTCAGGTAGAGATAATTCGTCCAGCTTCCATGTTATCTGTGGAAGAGGGTTACCACTAGCAGCACATCGCAAAGAAACAAAAGTGTTTGGTTGAAGGGTAGTTGATTGAAAGATCTCTCTAAAAACAGGTGCTTCTTCTAAAATAGAGAATATATACTTTGTTTCTGTGATAAAATCTCGACAGATAAGACAACATTTAAAAACTATAATAAATACTTTTCATTTGAACTCTAAATTAAATTATAAATGTTATTAAATTATAGCATTCCCTACAACTTTGTACCTTATTATTGTTATTCTTGCTTCACAGGACATGATGGTAGTTTATAATTACTCTAACTGTGAGTTTTCCAAATCTCCTTTCTGACTAAACAGGTCGAAATGTTGTTACTTTTGTATTTAGTTGTGTTCTGTAATACATACCGCCCATATCAACCATCTACACAATTCATTAACTTGAAGTAGATTCCTCGGCATCGTGATTTATAAGCTGTGTCTGATGTAAACAGGCTTTACTAACATTGGGTAAAATCCACGGACAGTAAAGCATGTATGTTTGTTTGTTTGTTTGCTAGTCAGCACCATCCACCGCCAACTCTTGGACTACTCTTTTTCTAACGAATAATGGGATTGACCGTCACATTATAACGCCCCCACAGCTGAAAGGGCGAGCATGTTTGGTGGGACGGGGATTCGAACCCGCGAACCTCAGATTGCGAGTCGAGCGCCCTAACCGCCTGGCCATGCCGGGCCATTAAAGTATGTAACTGATATAAATAAATTAGTTATTTTATACTTATATCTAGATGGTAAAATATATAAAACATAAGTAATGTTTACTCCGAATACACCGTCATTTACCAGCTCATGAATATAAAAATGTGTAATTCAATAATATTAAATTGAAAAAGTATAACTTAAACAGTTAAATGGTGGAAGTGCTTCTGTTATATTTTAATTAAAATATCATTACTTTTTGCATAATGAAAACTGTTTTTCAACCAAATCAAATTACCACTTAACACGAACAACAAATTAATGAAATAAAATATAAGTTTAAGTATAAAAGCATAAAAAATGGTTAAAATCGCTGTAGGGAAAAAATAATTACTGTGACAACGTTTTGGCCAAACGACCTTCAAGGTTGCTTAACGGATGCATTGGTAATATACTATTTCTTATCACTGAGTCAGGAACAACTGAGATGTAAAAAACAAACTTTGTTTTATATCATTCCAAACACAGACCTGATAGTAATAAGGCACCTGATGATTGCTCCGAGGAAATGCTATTTGAGACAAAGCACTGGTATATTCCCTTGTCTTGCCTAACGATAGGACTGATTTCAAGAACATTGTTGTACAGTATTCGTTTCCGCCCACTTGGCTGTAACGGCTGAACATCCTTCATCCAGATCACTTTCTGGACAGGAAATCCTGTCACGGAGCAGCTGAATCGTACAGTTTCTCCTATGTTAACAGTCTGAGTAGTAGGTAACACCTCTACACGAAGTGGGACTAAAAATAGCATTCAAATCACTAATATGAGAGATACAAAAATTAAATATTTAACTATTCAGGAAACGAATTCAAACTGACTAAACTTTGTCAATGTGGCAGAAAGAATCTGTTATGCGCTGAGATAAACCTTTTATATACCACGTTTAATAACTTTAAAAGAACTTATGAAAATAAGTATTGCTCATTAGTATGTATATATATACATATACTCATAAACATTTTATATACCATTTTTAATAGCTTAAAATATTATTAAAATAAGTATTGTTCAGTAAGATATATATATGTATATACACTATCCTACCAAAAGTCATGGGATACACCTGAGTGTAGGAAAATGGGTGTGACGATGAAATATGCAAATCGTTTGGCCTATAAAGGTGATCAGCGGTTCGCTCAAAAGTCATTTCGAACTTGTACGCCGAATGATGAGTACATGGAAAGAGCTAATGGAATTTCAGAGGGGAAGGATAGTTGTATGTAATTTGGGGAAAATGTCTGTACGTGCTATTGCGCAACAAATAAACATTGCCAGTCAATTGGCAACGTGTTGGAGAAATGGAAGTCCACAGGTGATAATGAGCCCAAGAAACGACCAGGTAGGTGTAAAATACTGACTGACAGGAGCTGATGAGCCTTGAAAAGGCTGGTTACCTCATCTCATCGTGAGATTCTATAAGTGTTTCCACGACACAAAAGAGAGCTGAATACTATGAATTTTCACGGAAGAGCTGCAGCCCACAAGCCGTTGATAACAAAAACAAATGCACACCGTCGATTGGCATAGGGCAAGAGACACCGAAACTGGACCGTAGATCAATGAAAATCGGTCCTGTGGAGCGGCGAGTCTGATGGACGTATTTTGGTATGGAGGATATCTGGAGTATGCTTATTACCTGAGTGTGTGGTCCCAACAGTGAAGTTTGGAGGTAGTGGTATCATGGTCTGGAGGTGCTTCTTGTGATATATACTAGGTCCACAGGTCATAGTGCACGAATCCATGAATGCTGAGTCCTACATTGATGTTTTTAACAGTTTTGTATGTCCTACATTGTGGCAATATTATGGTACCGGCCCTTACACTTTCCAACATGATAACACTTCATGTTATAAAGCAAGGATTGTGAACGTGTGGTTTGAAGAGATTAACATCGAACATTGCAACCCGATAGAACATTTTTGGGGTAAACTGGAACGCAGAATCAGGACAAGGCCAAGACGGTCCTTTTCAGTAGTGGCACCTACTAATGCTTTAAAGGAAGAGTGGAGCATAATACTATCGGCTTTCTACCACAAGTTAGTAGACAGTCTTTCACGACGCATTGAAGCAGTCATTAAGGCCAAAGGCGGGCCAACACGCTATAAAGACACGTTTTATTCATAACTATCCGTGTGTCAGAATTTAAAAATATATATTATTTCTTTTCTAAAATAAAAGGCTTTT